ATGCACTTAGGTCCATGGACATTGGTTAGTGAAATGCATGCTTAGAGTTTTTGGTGACTAATTAACCAAAAGATGAAACGCATGCCTATTGCTTATATGGTTTTTTCTACAAAAATTTCTTTCGGTTTAACAAAGCGATATTTTAATCTGTCTTGACCAACTAGTCTAATCAACGTCTGCGTGAATTGGGTAGCTAAGAATATTGGAGTGGAATATGCTGGTTTAGGTTCCCCAAATAAAATTGTCTAGACATGTTCTTGTTCTTTAATTAGACTTATCAGACATCCCCAAAAGTTTCTGAGAAATATTTTAAGCAGAACTTGGTAGAGTTGACTTTGATGCTAAACAATATTCAAGCCATAAATCCATAAATGCATGATTTGAAAACTGATCTGAATCCAGCCAATGCTGCATAATTCGTGTACAGTTCCAAAAAAAATTAAAAAAATAAAAGATGAGGATGTGATTGCAGTTGAAATTTTAGATGCCAAATCAAATTCTTATGTCTGGCAGATCAAAGTTGGCTTAAAATTCAGCTTTTGTGGGGTTGGAATATATTTTTAGCATGTGTAGGATTTTGGAAAAGAAACACGGTTTTATATTGTCTCAAAAAATGAAGATTTAATTAGATGCTGAGTTTTTCTTTTTCCTGAAATATCTTTGCGGGTGTTTTTTTATACTGCTTTTTAAAAGGATTAAAAGTGTTTTACAACAGTTAAAAGTGTTTTTGATTGTGTTTATCATGAAAAGTTAAAGCATTTATGAGTCGTAAAAGCACATTTTAGATAAGCACCTATTAGTTCCTACATGTCTATTACAAAAAGCACTTTTAGAATAAGCGTTTTTTTATAGAAACATCTCCAAACAAGTTGCCAACGTAATTATTAAGTTAGGCATAGTGATTATTAGTTGGCTCAAAGTGTTTAAAGTGGATACCCTTAGGTACGGTATCTATTTTGTAAGTATCAATTCATAAATCACCTTTACAAAAATTCAATTCAATCCAAAACTGTTTGCCCATTAAATTATCACAATGAAATTTCAATGTTTCTTAGAGAACAAAGTGTTCGTCAATTTCTTTGAACTTAATTAGATGCCTCAAATATTTCGAATTTGGTTAATATTTTGTAAGAATGATTTATAAGGTGCAACTTGAAAAGTAGATGGTTCGGATCGTTAAATTCGATGCGGTGCGAGTCTAACAACTAATCCCCATTTTTATAAATAAAAAAAAAAATGAGAATCACTTCCCATAAGGGCTCATGTTCCTATAGCAGTGAAACACATATACAAACAATATGGGAACATATAAGTTCGTGTTCTTATAACACTCATCAAGTGACCTAACTCTTTACTAAACAAACATAATAATCATGTTTACTGATTTGGTTTAGGGATTTGCCTTAACATATAATATGTAACATGTATAGCAGTATATGAGGTGTAAAGACTAAAGAGCCTACAAAAGTGGGGATGTGATTGGTACAAGACAAGGACATATACCTACATCTTTTGGGAGCATTTTACTAATTAATCAAATTCAAACCCATTCGAATTTCTGAAGTATCTCCGGATTTCAAATAATGTCGTTAATTAAGGTGAAGTAGGAGATCACATATATGCTAATCCGTATTTAAAAACATTTTCTGCTGATTAATCACTAAAATTAATGCTGATCAGGACTCAGATTTCGGTTTGATTAAAAAATATATATTCATACTTCGCAGCTCAAACAATGGGCAAGAGGGTTGTTATTAATGAATATACAACTTTATCCTTGTTTAGTTAATCAATTAATTAGAAGCAGGATATGGTTTAATGAGATCCTTGTGTGCATGAACTGTCATATGGCTTTATACGTAAAATCTGAATCAGTCATTGATGATCACCTCCATCTGTGATACGATCATTTCAAAACAACGATTCATATCAGTTGTAGAAATAAATAAACTTCATAAACATCGAAGTGCGAATACGAAGTAATAGGTATGCCGAGATTAGTGACGGGTGTATATTGGGACCAAGGTGCTTCCAAGATCATCAGGAGTTTGGAAAATATACATATGAAGGTTTTTTGAGGACATTCGAATGTTTGAAATGGGTCCCTTTTGTGCCCACCAAGTGTTTGATGTAATGCTTGCTAGACATATCTCAGCAGCAGGTTGCGTCGAGAGCACTCGACAAGTTCTCTCGATATCACTCATCAGATTGCTTCGACATATGTCGTTGATGTGTGAGCAACATGGTTTGGCTGGCAACAACAAGCCCACTAAGTTTTCAACGAAATACTCGGTGAATAATTTTGCAATCTATTAAAAAAATTTAAGATCTTTAACATTGGGACCCCCCAATGTTCAAATCTTGGATCAGCCATTGGCCGAGATGCTTTATTATACGAATAAAAGCATCTAATTGATGGAAGAAGTGTTGTAAAAGATTAGTTCGCGAGACTTTGGTCTGATACAATAAGAATTGTTTATTGTATGTAGAGAAAAATAGAGTGCGGAAATTACTATCTAAAGTTAACAAACTAACAAATCTATTAAAAATGAATGAGAATTTAAATTTTTTAACCTAATAATATTCGATATTTGCATGCAATGAATATGGCTTGGAATTCCAGCTTAGATTGCATCCCAAATGAAAGGCCAAAACAATCACAACGCTGCTGAATTTTAACACAACAAGAATATAATCCCACTGGTCGTGCTTTTAGGAAACAAAGCTTGAGCATTTTAGGGGTTGAAATTCCAAAACCCTAATTAAAAATGCATGTAACCATATGGTAATCTTTGCACATTGAGGCCCTAACATAAAAAATTGGGATGTAAATCTTGAATAAGTCGTATGGGAAATTATATAGTTATGTTTTTGTTCATATTTTAATGGGGATGAAGATATGAAAAGAGAGGAATAATGCAAGCGCATGTAGTTGTACTTTCATATCTAAAAAAATGGTATTAGATGTTTGAGAAATGAGAAAGAAGGCTCTTTCAAAAGTAGAGCTTTTCATAGATTCTTTGACATCTTATGTTTTTTTGCATAATGTTTTACAATGTTGGCACGAGAATTAACGTTCAACTGTGAGGTATAAGAGAGTTCATGAATAATCTCAATTTAAGAAAGTCTCTTTAGCATTTTTCTTAAATGTTTATTACTTGGAATGGGATGAGTATTGAAAATATTATGATTTTTGGTGTTATTATGTGATTGGTAATAAATAAGTATTCCAATCATTTCAATTACTGCTTTTTCGTGCGTTTACAATTTATTGAGAAGAATTAATTAAATATATTTTAATTGTTTTGACAAAAAAAAAAATTTATTTTTTAATATATTTTAGTAGAATTTTGTTTTGCTCCATGTGTTCGTAATACATCAGCGCATCTAGTAGCATCTTTTATGTTTAAGGAAGGTGGCCTTCATAGTTGTAATGAGTTTAAACTAGAGTGGTTGTTCAATACTCTGACATCTGATGTAAACGTTTCAATTTGAATTTAATCAAAGTTTCTATCATTTGGGGGAAAAAAAAAACAAAAAATAGATTTTAAAATGATTAGGAGAGTAATTGATCTCATTTTATTCAGTTTCTCCCATGTTTACGACTTTCTTCATTCCAATTAACTAACCATACAGTCACAAAACATATTAAAAAAATAAAATTAAAAAACCAATCATATTTTTATGATTCATGATTGTTTTTTCTTCTATGAGTTATGAATTAAATTTTCTTTCTTTCATATGTTTGAAACTTTGACATGAATGGCAAGCCCAGAGAAAAATGGTTACTTCCTACTTTATTACGAGCCCACCCCGGAAACCATGTCGCCGAAATAAGAGAAAAACATTGCGATAGAGATGGGTTGGATAAGTCAGAGAAACAAGCAGTATATGAGTGCAACTAGCACTATCAAAATTAAATTACAATAAAATGCATAATAATACATTTAAGTTACAACCAAGGATAGGCGCGGCTTGGTTTTAGTGTTTTGCTGATTTTAGACCCCGTGTCGTAATTGGACTAATGTTTTTCAGAGTTCAATTTAGTTCGGTTTAGGCCCTAAACAAGTAGTGTAAAGACGAGCGGAAACAAACCAATTCATTTAGTGATTGGCTTAGGTTTGGTTTAATTACTTTTCCCTTGTAAAGAATTAAGTGAATCAAATCATCGAGCTTGGTTTGATTTGCATGTTTTGGACAATTTGTGCGATTCTTTTACCCAACTTTGATTATTTTGTGTTAGGATTTAATTGTCCATGAAAAACAATGTATCTTGGAGCGACTTAATAGTTTTTAAGCACCATTCCTAACACGCGTTTTGAGCTGGTTTTTAGTAGCAAGTTCTACCTCTCATGAACACTAAACACATTGATTATTGATCACATAACTAGTCAATTCAGTCGTTTTTTATGGTTACTATTCATTGAAGATTCAAATTTAAGTGGTAGGTAACTCTTGACAGCAGCTGCAAAAAGCAATTATGCATGTGCATGTTAAAGTTTGATTTCTTCTAATATTCATTTTCTTAATAACTAATAATTTAATCAACTAACACTCTCATTTATAAAAATTCAACGAAAAGAAACGAACATACTACCCTAATAAAAATCCTTTTTGGTTGAGCAGGGAAACAAAAAAAAACACATAAAAACGGAAAAACAAGAAGGCGACGCGCATACAGCACACTATTGATGTGGATGTGGTACTCTCAGGTATACTCTACTCTCTACTGTCGTCGTCTGTCTGACCAAAATGCTAAACGCCTGTGACGGGTGAGAGAGTGGGCCCCACCCACACTCACTCTTCTCCTATCTGTTTTTCCCTATTTATTTTCTCTCGCTCCCCCTCCCCTCCACAAAAAAACCGCCATTCCCAAACGCTTTCACCTTTCCCTCCTCCTCCGTCCTCCTCCAATAATTCCACTCCATAACCCCCTTATCTAATTAATTAATCCTCCCCAAATTTGATTAGTCTCCATCTAATCATCTGTCTATATACTATATATATATATATATACTTATTGGTTGTGTGTGTGTGTATATATATGCAGCCTTGTAGCAGAGAAATGCAAGAAATGAACTCTCTATTGAACGCCTCAGCTTCCGCCTCTCAACTCTCCCTCCAAGATCACCACCACCTCCAACAACAACAATCTCACTCTCATAGCTCCCAGATGCATCCACAAACTCCGAACCCCTCCGCGTCCCACTTCGACTCCGCCACCCACGACGACTTCCTCGAGCAAATGCTCTCCACCCTCGGCCCCTCCTGGGCCTCCGCCGCCGACGACGCCCCGCCTCCGCCCTCCTCCAACCCTGACAATGTCGTCTTCTCCTACGACGACTCCGCCACCCTCTCATCCAAGTTTCGCAGCCAGCAGATCAGCGCCGGTTCCGGCGCTAACAAGTCCGCCTCCGCATCTGCCGCCGCTGCTGCCGCCATGATGCTCCAGCACCAGCTCATGATGTCCAGATCAGGCGCCGCTGACTCCGGCTTCTCTCCCATGGGCTTGTCCTTGCGGAACAACGGAGACTTTGACCGGTCCAACAGCGACGTCGGCGACGTCTCCTCCTTCAAATCCCCAAATACGGGGGTGAGTCTCACTCTTTCTCTCTCTCCCTCTCTCGCTCTCAGTCTGAAGTAACCGATTGCATAAGTATAAATTTACAATGGCGGCATAAATGTAAATACGGTTATTTTACAGGGAGGCGATGGGGCTTCTTCTGTTCAATCCCTGTTCAATGGCTTCGGCGGATCACTGCATGGAGCTGCAAATTCTCAGTCTCCCAATTTTCACCACCCTCAGGCATGCCCTTGCTCTTAATTTTATTTAATTATTAATTAATTAATTAATTAATCACGATTTGTTCTAATTGGGATTGTTAATTATGCACAGGGAGGTCAGCTGCTGGCGCAGAACTACGGAGGTGCAGGGGCGGCGATGAACCAAGCTCCGGCAGGTGGGTCTGCTGGGGCTGCGCCGGCCCAACCCAAGCCCAGAGTCAGGGCGAGAAGAGGTCAAGCCACTGACCCGCACAGCATAGCCGAAAGAGTGCGTCTCAGTCAATTTTAGTTGTTGTTGTTATCTGCGCAACCAAACAGAAACGGCTGCAATTCTTTGTTTGTTTCTTTTCGTCAGTTACTCTGATTTCTGACTGAAATGGTGTTGCAGTTACGGAGAGAGAGAATTGCAGAGAGAATGAAGGCTCTGCAGGAGCTGGTTCCCAACGCCAACAAGGTAATTTAATTTAATTAATTAATTAACCAATGAATATTATAGTCTGTTAATCGAGATTAAACAACGTAATTTATTTGTCATCATTAAACAATTTTTCTTTAATGTTATGTAACGATATGAAAATTAAAATGGCTAAGATAAAAATAATAATAATAATAATAATAACTATTTCAGCAGATCAAACTATTATATAATAAAAGAGTAAAAACGGATTATAGTGCATTTATTAGCTTAGAATATCGTTGTGGTTAAATAGGGAGCGTAGGTAAATTTCTTTATACCAAAAGATGTATTACAAATAAGAAATAAGTACGTTAATGATTCCTAATTAATAATCTTTAGTATTATTTTTTGTATTTAGAAAAAAATGGTAACCAATCCTTCCGTGCGCAAAAAGAAAGGAGAAAAAGGGGAAGTTGGTCCCGAGCCGTACTCCAGCACGACCCAAATGCCGATTGGTTAGGCTAATAATGGAGTATTCGAAACGTTACTAGTTAGTTTTTTTTTTTTTTTTTTATTTTTTTTTAAGAAAAAAAAGGTTACTAGTTAGTTAGACTTGCATTCTTGTATTATTTAGTATTGACCCAAGAAAATTATTAGTATTAATAATATTTTTAATCTAAACTAATGATTAAGTAGATGCAAGTTAGGACTGTTGGCCAAGGGAGGGAGTGGATATCCTTGCACTTTAAGTTTCAGTCTTCCTCCTTGTATAGTTTAAAACATTTTTTTTTGTAAGAAAATTAGATTTAATCTAAGGATTATTAGGAAACGATTTTCACACTGAACACTCTTGTTTACTTCCATTCATTTACTTTTATTTATTTATGCGATTTAATAGTAAAAAATAAACGTATTGAGTGTGTAAGGTACGTGGAAACCAGTTCCCATGATTATATTATTCTAACTTAACCATATACTTATGGGGTGGGATCCAATAATTTAATGAATTGGATGTGGGTTTTGGAATGACAGACGGACAAAGCTTCAATGCTGGATGAGATAATCGATTATGTTAAATTCCTCCAGCTCCAAGTCAAGGTACTCCTCACATCTTTTAGATTAATGTTTATTATATTTTAAGATTAATTAAACAAAAAAGAAAGATTCCCTGCTGGTTTGACATTGTTTGCTATATTAGAATCTGGATACGATAATTAAGTAATTAATTTGTTATATGTGTTTACTGACTGGCATTGTGCTTTTTTGGGCACCGCACAATATGTAGGTTCTGAGCATGAGCAGGTTGGGCGGTGCAGCTGCTGTTGCTCCCCTTGTTGCTGATATGTCCTCTGAGGTAAATTATTTCACAATAAACCCGCCCATAAATAGGCTTTTATGATATATTCCAAATTAAAAACGCACCGTTACTATATAAGAAAGTTTAAACATATGACATTGCGTTATTAACTTAGGTACTAACGCATAGAACATTCTCAACCTGCTCGGACCAAATACTTGTTTTGGCCAAGCAGAAACCCACCAAGACCACCATAAAAAAAAAAAAATTGAGAAAAAGACGAGGAAATTTTTCCTTCCGGAATTTTTTTTGTGGAACAAAAACCAAACCACCACATTTCACCTACCCTACACCAACCAGTGTACCCGGCCAAACCCCAAAATTCTCCATCATATAATACAAAACGACAAAAACAAAAGCAGCACGCGTGCCCACTTTCTCAGATTCCTCTTTTCTCTTTTAGCTTTTGTCCTTTCCTTTTCACACCCTTAAAAACAAACTAAATAATGATTTTAATTTTTGGTCGTCGATGTAGGGTGGCGGTGACTGTATCCAAGCCAGTGCCAACGGCGGGACCCGCGGACGGAGCTCAAACGGCAACCAAACGGCGTCATCATCTAACGACAACAGCATGACGGTGACGGAACACCAGGTCGCGAAGCTCATGGAGGAAGACATGGGCTCCGCCATGCAGTACCTCCAGGGAAAAGGACTCTGCCTCATGCCGATTTCCTTGGCCACCGCCATCTCCACCGCCACGTGTCACTCCAGGAACCCCCTCCTCCAGAACAGCAACAACAACCCGGTCATCCCGTCCAACGGTGGCGACGGGCCATCTTCACCCAGCATGTCGGTGCTGACCGTCCAGTCAGCCACCATGGGTAACGGCGGGGTTGAGGGTTCCGTCAAAGACGCCACCTCCGTTTCCAAGCCCTGACTGAGGGCGCCGCCGTCGATCGTCGACTGACCTTTTGGCTTTGGTCTTTACTTTTTAGCGATAAATGAACACACAGTGACGTGGGCTCCGAGGCCGTCCAAAGTCTACGAAAATAAGGCATCTGGGGTGGTGCTTTTCCAACGACGCCGTATTTGCGTAGACTTTGGCTAAAAGCTATCTCAAGCACACCACGAGAACCACCCGATCCCTATAAACCCTTTTCCTTCTAAAAGAGGTTTTTAATTTAGTCTTTCGTTTGTTTATCCTAAAAAAAATATTTAATCTTTCTGTTGTTGTTGTTTTTTTTTTTTTTTTTTTTAAAGTTTCCTGAAGAAAATTATAAATTTCTATTGCAATTTGCCTTGCCATCCCCTCCTGTGTTTCGTGAATTTCTAGTATGTTTCCAGATATTCTATATTTTGAAAATTTTAATTATTTGATCTATACATAAAGATATAAATTATCAAAATTTGATGGCCATAACTTTTGAACGAGTAATGATATTCATACCATGTTTTTATACAATATTTTTATACTATCTTAGGTGACATCTGATGTGGATAGCCACATTATTTGCAAAATTTACAAAACACAAGGAAAAGAATAAGAAAAACTTTTCGTATACCACAATCGTCATTTGAATTAATTAGTTTTTTTTAATTATTAGTTTATTAAATAATGAATTCAACTTAAAAATCTGATTAATTCAAATGATGTGATTGTTCACATTAAATATCATCTAATATGATATAAAAATATAGTATAAATATCATTACTCATTTTGGACATACTAATGCGAAAAAACATAACTATGTGCTGTTTACGCATGATTTGGGGTTTCTTGACAGAAAAAAAAAATTAAAAATAAATAAATAAAATAAAAGAAGAAGAAAAAGGAATGATTAGGGCTTGATAATGATGACAGAATATTAGAGAGTTGTATTTATCTAAAAGGAGTAGGCAGCTGCTAGGCTAAGCTTTGATGACTTTTTCTTTTTAGGGTTTTGTTTTTGTTTGTTAAAGGTCTTTTAGTTTAGTTTTGTGTGTGGGGCTATTGCAGTAAAGACAATAAAATACTATTGCAACGTGGATTAGATTATAGGTCAACTAAAAATATCTTTATATTTTTCTTCCTTTTAACGAGATAAAGACTAATTATTTATTAAGTAATACAAGAACTGGGATGATTGATTGATGTATAATCACTTCACTTGGTAACCCTAGACACTTTTGTGTATGATATGAATGTGTACGACAATTTAGAGAAAAACTTGGCAAGTGGTGTATACCAGTAATTCGTACGATGCCTCCTACAAAAATAGAAGTCAGATTATCTGTCCTCCTGGGTGTCCTTTCCATCTTTTTCTATTTATGCGATCATGGTTCAGTCATGTCAATATTTTATATTCCTATTATTATCTTTAAAAAAAATCAATATAAAATGTTGACATAATTTGACCGTATATACTCAAACAGGAAGGCAGACAATATACCTCTATGAAAATATTAACGCGAGAGTTAATTTAGCATATCCGTCGTCTTGAAGAATTATGAGACAAAATGACCACAATTAGGGTTTGCTCTTTATGAGGTATTTTCTTTAGCAAATTAAGTATGAGACACGCTTAACTGTGATTTGTCTACCAAAACATTTACAATTTGGCATAAAAAGATTGTGAATGCAACCTACCCACTAATGAACTCTGATTTTGTTTTTGGTTGCTGGAACTTAGAAGGTTCAATTAGTCTCTTAACTATCACGGGATGATTCAGTGGTTGAGAATGAATTATAGGCCCATATTAACACACATCATGCTGATGGTTCGATTCCTAACGCTAGTGAATCCCACGATGGTGGCCAATGAGAGGCGAGGCTGACATGCCTATGTACGTCTTTTCGGCCTCCGAAAGAGTGAACTGTTATGGCGAAGCCACCAACTGGTCCATTTTAAAATTAAAATAAAAATTAGTCTCTTGGATTTAGGTTTAAGTGGTATCTACCTTTTGTTGTTTTTCCCATCTTTCTAATCCCCCTTCAAATTTGAATACTCATTCTATACATAAAATCTATGGGTCAAATAGTTTTGATCATCTTTAATCGTTGCGATGATGTTTGTTAGACAACTTAGACTCATATTTTACACTTCTTTTTCTGTAGATGAATTTTTCTTCTCTTGAGTCAATAATTTTGTCCTTTTTCTGTGGATGATTTTTAAGTTGAAACGTAAGATAAATAAGGGGCTTCAATTGTTTTATGAATTTTGTGGAAAGGTCGGCTAACGCATGCAGATGACAAGTTATCATGGGAGTCCAATCATTCTTTATCATTTGAACACTCAGTAGAACAGTTTAATTAAGTGATTAGTCAGATATTCATTCAAGACATTAAATTATGTGCATTGAAAAATTGTATTTAAACATATTAGACCGCGCTTAAATACAAAAAGATTCATTCCTTTGTAAGAGTGGTCTGACCAACCATATAAGTGTAATTAGGCTGTAATACCGAAGTTTTTCTCTATATTAACTCTCTAGTGCTTGTTGCTTAAGAAACTTAACAAACAAAGAAAACAAACTTAATGAACCACAGCACATATAATTACTTCACGGTCCGAATCCCAGATTGATTCGTAATCATGTTATCATATATAGGTGATTAGAAAGAGTTGCGTTTGGGTAATTCACAGAGGTTAGGTGGTATTCTTTGTTGACAAAACGCACATATTATTATTACCCTTTACTTACCTTCTTTATTCTATTATCCTATCTTCGTTAAATCAAAATTAAAAAAACTAAGTTGTTTTTTATTGTATTGATTATTTCTTAATTATCGTTAGGTTAGAAAGCACCATGACAATATTGTTTTTTTTTTATCTCAATTTTTCGACGTGGGATTTATATTCAACACGCTCCTTCATGTGAGACCATCACATAGTTATGTTCAACATGAAACAAAACTAAACAAAAGTGAGATTCAAGATAACATGTTATATGGCTTTATCAATTAATCTTGGTTTAGTACAATTTGTTTGCACATTGTTGAAAATAATATGAAGTTTGACTCAGATAACGAGAACGTTGTATCTATGAATTCGATACTTAGTTTTGACTAATATCGAAGTTATTCACAAGCTATATAGAGAAGCGGAGAAATGAACATAAACATTTAAATTAATCTAAATTAATCTTGAACAAAAGAAAATTGGTATTGCATAATTTGAGCTTGAGGGCGTGTGAAGAACTGAGAAGAGATCATCTTCGAATCTTTTTTACCAAAGTCATTGGATCAAGTGATCCGGGTTTTTAAAATTTCATCCAACGGCTAAAAATTATTATAGCTTTTAAATGGTTAAAACAGATGAGCCGTGGATAAAATTTTAAGGATCCAAATCACTTGATCCTATAATCTTAATAGAAAGAATCTCTTATCTGAATAATTAAACAGGGCGTATTTCCACTCATTGATTGAGACACCTTGCCAGTTGCCAGAGTGCCAATGGCATGCTGACGCAAGGCCTACGTAACGTTCGTCCAAAGTCCAAGCAACATGCATGTAACCAGTTGCTACTCACAGAATTTGAGATTAGGCTAATGTGAAAGAGATTAAATTTTGAAAATTAAAAGATATGAAAGTTGATGATTGATTTATTACTTAAGCATTGATTAACGTGTTCAATCATATTGATGACACATCATTTAGTTTGTAAATTTAGTCTAAATTTTTTGTCTCGCTAGTATTACTCTGAGATTAAAATGTCAGAGTATCTCCAAAAGAGATGTTAAAATGTACATATCAGCTATAATAGTAAAAAAAAACCACACTAATATTCTTCAACAAAAGTGTCAAATCTTATGTGGCGATGACATAGATTGGCAACAAAAGAGGTTGTTGTCAAATTTGACAGCAGCTTCAAATGTTTTTTTCATTAATTATTAAATGAATTTTATTAATTTTTAATCAGTTTAATCATTTATTATAATTAATGTTGAGTTGATCGATGCAATTATCATACGTTTTTCTTCTTTTCAATCAAGAAATGTGAACAGATTATTGATTAAACCTTAAATTTCTTTTATTAAATTTTATTTTATAAAATAATAAATAATAATCTAAGTTGACATATCAGTTGGAGAACAAAACTTTAAAAGATGTCAAAGTGCCACATAAACTGTCAAAATTTAAATTTTATGTTCAAAATTTGGGGAGGTGGTCTCACTAAACATATTTTGTTGTAATAAGGTAGGATTGATCATGAGAGATGTCGAATACGTTATTGAGGATATAACTCAACCTCTCTTCCGCTCATGATGTCTAGTCACAATTTATGAACATCCAAATTGAAAGAGCTTGATATACTCTCTCAAATATTGTTACGATGTAATAATTTCCTGAGCTGAAAGAGCTTGATACTCTTCACATTTTGTCACAAAGAGTAGCGCATCAAACCCTTTAAAAGAGAACAGTAATTTTCACGTTCTCGTTTTCTTCTTTTGCGCTTATATTGTTTATTTTGCCGAGCCGGCTGATTGATTTAGAGGTATCAATTGGTAAACAAGAACTTTCAAACTTTGATCTTCCAAGATCTCCTCAAAATATCAAATTCAATTTACATACTCTTCCTCGGTTTTTTTTTTTTTTTTTTTTTTAATTTCATACACGCATGATGCACATGGGAATATTAAGAGACATGTAGTCCACTACTTTTTGTCAATTCTTCACCACCCCATGATTCACCCATTGACCCTCAAGTTCTGAATCAAGATTATTTTTTAGGGTTCATCATTTTAATTTATTATTATTAATTTAATTTCGGCCATAACTCCACTGATTTAGTTATGACACATCCTGACCCGGAATATCAACTAAGATTCCAAATCGAGTTGTGCTGGCCGACACCAGGAAGGTGACGAAACCATAAAGTGTAGTGATGTGAAAAATGTGAATAAATTTAAACCTAAGAATGCCTAAATACAAAAGTGTGTTTGGAAGGATTAGTGTATTACAGGTTGCAGAGCATGAATTAGAAACTACTAGCATCAATTATAAAATAATAATATAATATATATATAATAATTAATAATATATATTTTCGGTTTAGTATGGGATTCCGAAAATATCGAGAAGCCAATCCCGAATCTCATACCAAAATTTCGGGATCAGGAATTTCGGTTTGGCAAATTTTTGGTTTGGGATCGGGATTTTCGGGAATTTTTTCCACCCCTAGATCTAATAAGAGATTGCAAAATATGATTTCAGGAGGATTAAACAGTTCATATTATAACTAATTAAAAAATTGTTTACGGAGCCAAAAATAATAAGGCCTTTTAGCCAAAATGAATCTTAAGATTGGTATAACCTCTCATTTTAGTTCTTGAGATTTAAAATTGATAGAAGTGATCCCTGAGGTTATCCAATGTCAATCATTTTGGTCATTCCATGAAAATTTTCCACTAGATTGAGGTGTTTTTGTTAAATTAACCCCTTCACTTGAACTGGTGATTTCTTCAATTTAACAGCGATTTTTCACATATAAAACAAAATGATTGACGGTTGACAATCTTAAATACCACTTCTATTAATTGTAAATCTCAGAGACCAAAGTGAAAAGTTATGCTAATTTTGGCTAAAAAGCCTAATAACATGGCATTGAAAATTGTTGATGCGTTTTCCAAAATAAATTGCAGTGCATAGATACTTACAGTGAGGCAAAAACATGAACCATAAAAACTTGCTGTGGATATTGGCAGGGCATCTCAATCACACAAAAGTATGGACTTCATGTATTTTGATCATATCCGACTTCACACTAAGCCACTTTCTTGAGAACCGTCACAGTTAAACGGCTTTATTAAAGTTTCTTTCGTACTTGAGAAACAAAAGTGAAGGTATTTCTAATTCAACCCTAGAGAGTATAGAGACGTCATCTCATCGTACTTAAATACGAGAAAAACTTAGATGAAACTGGGTTTTGATCCGCTACAAGCAGACCCTTCGAACTTACGATCTAATGTACGGTTCCAGAGCTAAAAAGGACAGTCCGACAACCTACAACAACGAACTCCCTCCATATATTTCGACTCAACTGTCACTAACTAGCAGCACAAGCTGCAGTTTCATGGAACCATTCCAAATATTTCTACTCCAGTATGTAAAATAAACAGAAGGAACGTATCAAAGTTTTTCTTGTGCATTCCTAACCACGTCTTCCTGTTTCAAGTTTCCGAAACCTGTAAACAAATTGCAGTTTTCGTATCAAACAAGTTTACTGACAGTTTGGCCCTACAAATCCTCTGTTACTCATTAAGGACTAAGCTCTCAAAATCTCTACATGCTCAGCAAATCCCTACAAAGCCAAAGACGCAGTTTTACTCTCACCATTTCATCATATGCTACCTGTTGCCCAAAAGTGTCACCAAGATATTGGCACATACACGGTGATGGTCATATAAATGCAATCCAAGTTTGCAACAGAAGCGTCCATAAAATATGCGCAATACCTACAAATATGCTAAAACATATACAGCAACGAAGCATAAACTGTATCCCTAAATGCACGGAAAGGAGAAATTAATGTCAGAAGAATGCATATGCTCTTACATGGCTACCTTGGAATCAGAACACTAGCATTGACAACACTGCACTTCTTTCATTCTACCAATTGCCTAGATTTCCTAGGTGTGTCAAGTTCATCAAACATATGAACCACAAAGAAGTATTCCAAATATGTGAGCTTTCAAATTATTACATCAAATTTTGCCAGAAACACATCTTGTCGGATATATACACCATATTCTCCATTGTTTCTTATTTAAACATGCATTGACACCAAAAGATTGACAGCTTCCTAATGTGGTACTGCCTCTGCAGTGCAAACTTTAAACCATACAGATTTCTGCTTCCCATTGAATAATGAATTGAACATGAACCCAGGAACTAACCAGGACGACTCCTTCAGTGTCAGGGGCCAATTCAAGCTTTATACTCCTGCCAAAATGGATAAAGTTTCCATTCACTTCAACTATCCTTATTCCTAAGTTTTCATGTAATAAGTAATCCCACTTTGACCCTGGTATTCCTAGTAACGTTATTGCATACGAGTAATGAGTCAAACAACTCAAAACTAAAGCATTGTATCATAGCAGTATCGTTAGAAAACGTAAGTGCAAATCTTCGTAAATGTATTTAGTAATCAATAATCATTAAACATCAGCATGCATCCATTAAAATTGAGTCAGAAACCGATACTCATTTTCCTTAACTACAAGAAGTAAGCTTTAGGCAATTAATTCTTCATTACTACTGCTGTACAACAAACAACTTCTCATAGCCAATAAGAGTAACAGCAACACATTAACCTGATCCCATTAAACCAAAAGTTGACATGAAAAGTTTTAACTAGTGGTGGTAGGCTTGAAAGTGTAAAGCTGTGGAAGTGACAACGGACCTTTCCTCGAATCTTTATCATCCAAAAGCCTCTTCAGACTCTTGTTCTTGCAGTAGAGCGCATCAAAATGCTTCACCTAAAACCCCAAAAACATTAAAATTAAACAAAGAACAAAAACCCAATAAATAAAAATTAAAACTTTGTGCTCCAAGAAACCCAAAATGTGAAGCAAAAATTGAAATTTGAGAATTGGGGATTTCAAATTTTACCCAAGAAGTACGGCAGTGTTTGACAAACTCCTCCCTCGAAGCTTTGCATTCTGCTGGGTACAACAGGCCCTTCGACGCGATTTCGGTCTGCTTCTTGTCCGATTCTTTCTCCACACACGCATAGAAAGCGTCCCGAGCCTTTCCGAACACGTCAAATTGCAGGTTAAACCCCAAATTTCAATCCTTGACATCTACATTTCAGGAGAAAAACAAGGGAGGAGAGAGATTCAGAGAGAAGTAGCACCTTGTAGCAAGCTTGTCTGGCATTGGAAAGGACGTCCGTGTGAACCTCTGCTGGGTTTCGTGCGGCGTAAGCTTCCGTGGCCATTGATTCGAAATCAGAAGGGAGAAAGCTCTGATCTTATGATTCTGTTCAGCTGCTGTGAGTCGGCGACGACCGCTGCGTAAGATCCGAACGCGCGTATGAGTGAATGGGCCGCATGGGGCCGAGCTGGGTATTAAGCCATAGTGTTCGTGGATCGACTTGAATGGAATTTGATGAAATGGGCCTTTAGACTAAAGGGCCCATGGTTCAGAAAGATTTATATGTAGAAACTTGGTATCTCACACCATATGAAATTTGAGTGGATTATATTACGTTGAAATATCACATATCAGCCGTCTCTTCGAGAAAATAAGAGTTTAAATATCATAATCACAGTCTAATTAACAACGAGAATCTTTGTGATAAAACCCACACCTGTCAAACTGTGCATGTGGTAATGAATAAGTTTGTGACAATATTGATGTTGTTGGAGTGCACCTTGGGCCAATGTCTGATAATTTGACATGGTATTAGAGCCAAGGAACGGCCCCGTGTAGCCACGTGATGGGTGGGTCCCCTTGGCTCCAAGTGGTTGTCGATGTATGGATCTCCCACCTCTGACCCACTAATTGGATCCTACGTGAAGGAACGTGTTGAAATATCCCACAATGGCGTCTCTCTAAGAAAAGAAGAATTTAAATTTCCCAATCTCCACTCCAACTAACACCAAGCCTTTTGTGATAAACCCCACACCTGTCAAATTGTGCAGGTGGTAATTTGTGATAAACCCCGTCAAACTGTGCAATAGTAAATTGACACCAAGCCTTTTATGATAAACCCCACACTTATTAAATTGTGTAGGTGGTAATTTGTGATAAACCTACACCAGTCAAACAAATTGAGGATACTCTGATAATCGAAGCTAGAAATTCATTAGAGGAGAGGCACCATTCAGTTAACATCATATGAAAGAATCGAAGGCATATAGAAAACACAAAGATAGGCAAAGAAAAATAATGTCCTTGTGTGTGTGTATGTGTGTGTGTGTGTGTGTTGCGTTAGAAACGAGAGAAAAAAGTTCTGATTTTGTTTTTGCTCATTGAAACAATTTATTTGTATTTTAATTTTGGTTTCATGGGTCTAAAAATAATAGATGAAAGGAGAATAGAAGAAAATACGAGGGAAGATTTATGTCCAAGATATTAGAACAAAATTGTGGAAGTGGCTATTGTTTGTCTGATTTGATGCTCCAGATTTCTTAGCTAAACTGAGAGTTCCATTGGAGGGTGGTAGTAATCATTGGAAGGTCAAGTTACCAATTGGTGCTCTCCATTTAGGTACATATATGTGAACCAATTTGAAAAAAAAAAATTCAGGACGGAATCGTGCCCATTCTAGTCCTTAAGTGGCTCCGTCACTACTTCACACTAGGCGTAGACCTAGTATGTATAGCATCCAAAGGAGATATTAGGGAAGAAAAGACACTCGTTTGTATGCAAAAACGTATAAATTTTGCTTAGAACTTATGACAACTTCTTTGCAACAGTTATATACCAGCTGTTTTCATTATAAATGTTAAGGAAGTTATCAACTAGGTCTTAGTCAAATATTGCTTCTCATCCTAATATTAGAAAATGTTCCAGGTTCAGAACCTCGTTATGGATAAAAATGTGAAGAAGGTCAGTGAGGATGTATATAAGAAGTCTTTAAGGGAAGAGATTCTCATTTTTTTTATTATATAAAAATAGGAATTAGCTGTGGGGTCCACATCACATCGAACTTTAACGATCCGAACCGTCCATTTTTTAAGTTGTACCTCATTGATCATCCTTGCAAAGTATTAGCCAAATTGGAAATATTTAAGACATCTAATTGGATTCAAAGAAATGAATGAATACTTTGTTATACAAGAGACAATGAAATTTGATCTTGATAATAAAATAGGCAAATAGTTTCGGATTGAATTGAATTTTTACAAGGATAATCTATGAATCGAGACTTAACAAAATAGACCGTTCGAATCATTAAAATTTGATGTAGAATATGCCCCACCCCTAATCCCCTTTTTTTTTTTCAAAAAATTAGAATCCTTTTGTATAAAAGGGCTTGTATATATATATGTATCACGATTGCAACAATGCAACGAAAAAGTAGGGGTGAAAATTGAAGCCAATTAGATTAAGTAAATCTCACCCAAAACAGCTATGTTTTTAGTAAAAGTTATTTGATTAAAAGCCAAAAAGAGGCACATCAGAACAACAAGGCAGAAGGACCAAGTCAACTAATCCAAGCAAAAATTTCAATCACTACTACCCGACCACAATACAAGCCACAAAATCTCAATCACTACTAGAAGACAAGTTAACTAGACTAATCCAAGCACCGGACCACAAAACAAGCCACAAAATCTCAATCACTACTAGCCAACTCATACGAACTTACGAAGAGCAAGGAAGGCTATCGCGAGAAAGCACAAAGACAAGGGAGGTTGGAAGTCTACTGACCCAACCCTCAGCGCATAACAACTAATCAAGAGACCAATTTCACTAAATCAGTTGGTGAGTTTCTAATATTATATGTTCGTTTGTTTTGATTCTCAGATAATTAGTAAACACATATATAGTAATCCTTGCTAATACCCAATTTCTTATTTTGGTTCAATACAAAGAGGCGCCCTAAATAAGTTAAGGTAAATATTTTTGCCTTTTAATTCTAATAAAAATGATAGCAAGAGAGGAAACACTTGAATTCATGACCTCATATTCAATGGTACATGCTCTTGACGAGTTGAACCACGAGGCCCTTCTATACAAAATGAACCTTAGCTAGAGTAGAGTGGGGAGTATGGTGTGTTAGTAGATCTTCATATCTATTTTAGTCGAGGAAGAAGATAATATAGGTAATGGAGTTGTCGGCAATAAATAGAAGATTGAAAAAAAAGCTGCTGTAATTAAGTAGTGTAATATACTAATATAAAGACCAAGTAGCAGAGAGAGAGAGAGAGAGAGAGAGAGAGAGAGAGAAGCTGAGTGGATGAGGGAGAGTAGTAGATCACTGGACTAGTAACGAGTGGTGCTGACAGAAGAGAGTGAGCACACACGGGCAATTGTATAAAGCTATACCTTAGCGTGATGTGTGCTCACTTCTCTTTCTGTCAGCCGCCCGCCGCCTGCGCTGCCCTCCCTTTCATTATGTCTTTCTATGTTCCTCCTCTCGATCTCTCTCTCAGTTCTTCTACCTACTACCGTCTCAGCTTCCACTTTCCAGGTGTACTCTTTCTTTCATTCTTTCAAGAAGATAAGAATTGAATTTATTTATTTATCCCCTTTATATGTATTTTTCCAATCAATTATTATTGCTTTTTCATTTTCCCAGGCAGACCCTCCGACCTTGTCTCTTCTTCTCGTTTGGAAGATGATATCCAGTATGTGTGGACTAGTGTGCATCCACTCTCTCAAGTCCCACTGATAAATAACTGAGTCTCAGGTTTCATCACCATTATCATTATCACAGATCTAATCTTCTAGCCCTAGCTTCTTTGTTTTCCTCTTTCAAGATTTACTATAGTAAAATACAGAACGAATATAGTACGTGAAAAATACATACATACTTGTATTATTCGGCGCTTTGTTAAAAATTTATTTTAGAAAATTCGGTCATTTTTTAAAATTTTAGTATGTATTCATTTAATTTATTAGTTAATTTTTTTTTGTGTGAATTAATTTGTTTCTTTGTTAAAAAACGTGAATTTTATGTTTAATAAAATTATGCGAAATATGTGAAGATAACGGGTATTAGATGTGACTATATACGTGTATAATAAATATATTGTATGTTTAAGTTTTAGAAAGCGTGTATGAAAAACAAAAGTATACGCGAATTTATTATATCACAATTCAGTATTACTGTAGTATTTATCATTAATGTCTATGGAGTTTGAAATTAGCGTTTTTGATGGTCCTTTGCTAATCAAGGTACTAATTAATCCTTCCAACTGTTCACATTTTAACGGACACCTTTGTTCATTTCATTCTTCATGCCTCATATATTCTGGAAATACAAACCCTTCCTCTTCTACTAAAATTATTTATTTTTATGTTTATTCTTCTCTCTCAGCATCATATCCACACCATCACAAGGTTTTTATTTTTATTTTTTGATACAAGTGATTTTCTACACTGAACTCATGTAAAGTATTAAAGCGAAATTCATATAATTTACTGTAAAAAAATATTTGAACTTAAATGCAGATGAGGGAGCAGAGTGTTCTAGTCAATTACCCGTGTCTGCTACACCATCAAAAGGTAGAAAATGGATCCTCTCCAGATCTCTTCTTCCTAATCCACTAAATCTGAGGATCCGAACTATTGAAATTTGATCAAACGACTAAAGTTATTATAATTTTTTAAATGTGCCCCTGTTTGTAACCGATGAATCAAATTTCAATGGTCCGGATTTCTGGACTTAGTGGATTAGAAGGAAGAGATCTGGAGATGATCCCTTTCCAAAAGGTACTCTTTTCTTCAAAACCTAGACAATGATTAATTTCTTTCATATTCATAACGATTCCAATTTGCTGATTAGATTTTCTTTTTTTTGGGTGCATTGATGATGATATGCACATTTTCCGGTTTAAACTCAAACCCGGATTTTGTTGTGGAAGCTGGAGGCGGAAAGAGGAAACAGAAACCCTTGTGGGTCACAGCGCGGTGCCAAATATGGACAGAAATTCATAGTTCCCTCATCTCTCCATATCTCAACTTTTCTTTTATCATTACTTACCTTTTCAACGATGGGACGAATTTCCTTTTACATGTCACAAATTCATTCAATTGCCAGATTTTCCAGGATTCTGATTTACTGCCCATTTTTGGGAAGATTTTTTGCTTCGTTTCAAGGTGAATGAATGGATGAATAGCTAGGGTTTAGCTTTATCTAGGTTGGCCCAAATAGAGTTTTTGATATTCTTCTATATGTGTTGTTGGTTTTTATTTTGCTTCTCCGATAGGAACTAATTCTTGTATTGAATTCAGGAGCAACAGATTTGCTGCTTCGTTTATTTGCAGCAGGTTATTCATCTAGGTAACAGTTGTTATCTACCTAAAGATTACAAACTTCATGAGTTTTATTTATTTATTTATTTGCTATTTATTCACTATTTCTTCT